TGAGGCCAGGTTATTAGTGTCTTGGCAGTCGTCCGTTGGTCCTTCTCACCTCCTTGTTAGCAGTACTGAGAGTTGCCTAGAAAAGCCTGTGTCCTTTCTGTCCCAGCAGTGAGCACTTGGTAGGGGTCACAGTCGTAGGATTTACGGGTCCTTTGTGTTCAGCCACAAGAACCTGCCTTGAAAATTTGGGCTTGGTTATGTAAAGAGTTAGAATTGTCTCAAAAAGAAAGCTGACTGCCTCGGTTCATTCCTTCTGTGACAGCATACCATGAAGTAGGTAGGTAATTTAGAAACAGTAAAATAGATAACTTGTAAGCAGTAAGTAAGATAGATAATTTATAAACAGTAAAATAGGTGGATAGATAAATAGTTTATAAATAACAAGATAGGTAGGTAGATAGATCTTACCGTCCTGGGAACTAGAACTTGAAGGCACTGGAACTTTGGTATGCAGTGAGAGAGACTCTTCCCTCAAGATGATGTTAGTTAGTGCTGTCTCAGTGTTCCCAATGACAGAAGGGACGGAATGACAAAAAGCAGCTGGCTAGTTCCCCCAGGCCCTTGAATAAAGGTAATGATCCACACACTTATGTGAATCGTCCCACCTGTTCATGCAATGCATTGAGGATTTGTTTTAATGTGATTTTGGAGGGACTCTAATTCAAACCATAGCACTGACCACTTGGGTAAACATCTGTTAATCCCAGCACTCACTCCTACAATGAGGTAGGAGGTAGGAGACTCACCTGGACCGTGGTGAACAGCTAGCCTAGAGTACATAGAGAATCCCTGCCTCAACGGGTAGAACACACAAATGATAATATTTCAAATAAATGTATGTGACTAAAATTTGGCCCATTGTCTTTAATGCTATTGAAACACAATATGTTGCATGGTGACACCTGTTTGTAAGCCACTCAGGCTGAAGCAGGCAGAGTATGAGATCCAGACTACACAGGGCTATATCTTAGAATCTTTATTAAATTGGGGGTGTAGGGGTTGTTTTCTAGGCTAACTGGATTTTGCCTTGGTGAGAAAATTGGAGTTTGGCCAGGAAAGGGAAAGGTGAGCCTAGAACTCTAGGATAGTTCTATCTGGAATTCTGCCATTGTAGGCCTCGCCTCTTCCAAAGGCTACAAACCAGTGACCTAAAAGTATTTTGTTTTTATCCATGCTAGTTACTAGTTGAACTAGATGCCAACATTTAAAAATTGAGACATTCGGGCTAAGAAAATGGCTCAGTGCATGAAATGTCTATAGTTTAAGCATGAGGACCTGAGTTTGGTCCCAGTACCCATGGCTAAATGATGAATATACTTTTAATTCAACACCGAAGAAGCAGGCAAATCTCCAGAGCTCCCACCATGCATAGACTGTGAGCCCTAACTGGAGAGAGGCAGTCTCAAAAACAAGGTAGATGGTCCCTGAAGTTAACCCCTCACCCCCATGCACACACATTCACAGACACACAGACCTGAAGCTAAGGCCTGGCTCCCTCCCATGTGCTCACATTCACAGACACACATAAATTATTTTCTGAGAGATTTTATTTTTAAAAACCTGGATTTTGAGGGACCAGGGAGATGGATGGCTCTGTGAGCAGCACCTCCTGCTCTTGCAGAGGACTCCCAACTTCAGCTTCCAGTGCCCACATGGGGCAGCTCACAGACACTGTAACTCCATGCTGGCCAAGTGGGCTTGGCTGGCCACTGAGCCCCAGAGGTCTGCCTAGCCCTTCCTCCCCCCCCCCCCCCGCAATCCCCTGCAGTAGGATTGTAAGAGTCGGGCACCATGCCTGACATTTTTATTGACACTAACTGGAATCCTGATTTCACAGCCAGCACTTTACAACTGAATCCTCTCTCTAGCTATGTTAAGACTGAAATGTTTGTTGAGACAAAAGGTCTGAGCTGGGTAATGGTGGTAGTGCAGCCCTTAATCCCAACACTCGGAGCCAGAAGCAGATGGATTTTTTGAGTTTGAGGCTACCCTGGTTTACAGAGCTAGTTGCAGGACACTTGACTACACAGAGAAACCCTGTCTCAGCCAAAAGAGAGAGACAAGGTCCCACTATGTAGCCCAAGATGACCTGGAGCTTCTGACCCTTCTGCCTCAGTCTCCCTAGTATTGGATTATAAAACGAACCACCAGTCACAGCCCTTGACTATCTTTTACTTTCTGGTAATCTCCCAAATTTCAATCAGGTGTCCCCATCATAAGTCAAGAGCACCTGTCATGATCATGACATCCTGGATTGTGTCAGTAGAAGCCCGGTGAGCAGTTTGTTCAAGTCTGCGCCTGATAGTTTAAGTCACTTGACGTTCCAGCTCATAGTTCTGAGAAGCCACAAAGAGCACAGCTCTTCCTCAGCCATCAGCCAGCCCCTGGCTTTGCTGCCAGGTGTGTGACCCGGTACCAGTCATCTGCATTGGTGGGTAGCCTGCCGGTAAGCAGGGCTCTGCCCTCTCCAAAGGGCAGTTGAATGGGGCAATGGGAGGTGGAGAGAGTCTTCCTGCGAACTCCAAGTTAATAAGAACACGAAAGGGACAAGTCCTCCATTGATTAGAAAACATCAGTCTTGAGTAGGGCCCCTCGGGAGTACAGAGCACACACACCACCACCCCCCACCCCCCACCCCCGCTCCTCTATGGAGAGGAACTGTCTTTTAAGCAATCATTAGTGTCTTGCTTGTGGACATAAAGCCCAGGGTTGCTGCAGCAGGGTTTTGCCCTCGGTAATTGCATTCACCTCAAAAACCACAAGTAGCCTCGGTTCTCTGCGGTTGTTATTTCATTTGAAAAACTAATTGAAAGTTGAGAGAGCCCGGTGTTTTTGTGTTTGTTGAGACTGGGCAGGGAAAGAGATGAGCAGTGGGGCCAGGGGAGGAGAGGGGAGGGGTGGGTCTCACACACAGCCCAGCTCCTCCTTTGTCCCAGACCTTGGCAGGTTCCCCGCCTCCTGCCTCTCTGCCTGCCCTTCTGGTCTAGCCTTCTCCTCTGGAGGAGCTTTTGTTTCCCATTGTTCTCATAGTCTCCACCGCCACCGAGTGGCCTCCTACAGTGCATTTCCCACGCTTTGCATTGCTTGTCTAGGCTGGGGGGTGGGGGGAGCAGGTGGTCTTTCATAGCTCTGGTGCTGGGAGATCTGCCACCTGGCTGCAAGCTTCCCAGGACTGGGGTCAAGTGCTTCCCTTTCCTGCATGCAGTGAACTGGGCTGGCTGGGGAAAGCAAGAGGTAGGAGTTCCATCTAAGTTTGAATGCTGTGGCTATTTTTACACTTTTAATCAATTATCCCAGACATCCCATCATTCAGGCTCCACAGCTGTCTTGTTTACTTGTTTGTTGAATTCACTCTGGAGATCAGACTGGCCTTGAATTTACAGAGATCTACCTGCCTCTGCTGCCTTAGTGTTGGGATTAAATGGGTTTGCCACTGTTAGGAATAAAGAATAATGGGTTGGAACAGCAGGTGATGGGTCCCCAGTCCCGCATTGGAATGGCAAGGATCGAGGTACTATATGTGATTCATATTGAAAGTTTTATTGGGGGGGGTTAAAAAAATAAAGGGACACAGAGACAGAGGACAGAAGAGAAGAGGGAGACAGGAAAAGTCCTGTCTGTCCCAGGGGGACAGCAGTAAATAAAGCATAAGTGGGTAGGGTCTTTCTTTTAAAGGGGTCTTTTGCATCATATACAGACTACTTAGCCAGGGATCCCTGGGCTGACCAGGGCACTGCCTGAGTGCATTCTGCCAGGTGACAGGAACAGGCCAGCATAATGCCTTTACATTAACAGTCTACAATAGGTTGGCAGTTTTTATATGATTAAGACTTTAAATTATATTTCAGTCAGGTCTAGCCTTAAAAATAATATTTGAATTAAAGCTTTCTTAGTGTCAAAACCTTTTAAAGACTTTTAGGAAGATATCAAGATAGTCATTCTGTGGGAATTAAACATAAGTTGTTAGTCAGATTCACTCCAGATAAATATTATTCAACCTTTCCCTGGTCCTGGGACTCCCTTCCCTCATCTTGGGACTCCTCGGGAACCCACCCTCATCCTCCTCCCCTCAAGTACCAGGACCTAAGAAGTTATTTTTTTCCTAAACCTAACCTCTGCCAACATCTTTTCAGGTCCAAGAGGTGCCAGAGAGTTCCATACAGCCTGGACTGTGATGAAACAACCAGCTACCCCAGGACATGTCAGCACCCCAGCTTTCTCAGGTCCCCCAAAGATGGTCAATGCCCCTCCCAGGTCAGCAGGAAATAGTCTTGAGAACTGGATGCCCTTACTTCCTAACCTGCCATGCCTAACTCCTCACCTTTTTAATAATAACTAAAGGTGGGAATGTAAGGATTCAGGCATTATGCTGACCTGCCCCTACAGGTCTCTGTTTCCCCATCCATCACCCGCCCCAGCCCAGGACCGGGGATCTACCATCTGCGGTCCCAACACTTTATTTCTAACAGCCACCATCACTGGCCTATAGTTGTCAATTTTTAAGGCTTACTTACAATAAAATGGATTTTTTTTTTTTTTTTGAAACAGTGTCATATGTATCCCAGACTGACCTGGAATTTACTATGTAGCCAAGGAGCCAAGGATGGTCACATGTTTTCTGAGACATTGTTTCTCAATGGATCTTGAAACTCATAGACTAGACTAAACTGATTAGCCAGTGAGTCTCAGAGAGCCATCTTTCTTGACACGGCCACCTCTACACACACACACACACACACACACACACACACACACACACACACACACACAGACTACAGGCATGTCGTCCTGTGCCTGGCTTTTATATGGGCACTGGAACTAACTCAAGTCCTCATGCTTGCTTGCACAGCAAGAACTTTACCGACCGAGCTAGCTCTCCAGCTCCAGCTGTTTTGTACCCTTATACTTTTCGATGTTACCCTGGGAAAGGTAGCCATGTAAACCATGTTTTAAAAAAATCAGATTGACAATAAAGGGAATTGAAATGCAGATCAGGATGGGGGGTTTATTGTATTTACAGAAAGGAGAGGGTCAGAAATGCAACAGAAGTAACTGGGTCCAGTTGTGTTTGAGGTATGGGTGGCTTGAGCCTCTGCTGAAGGCTTCATCCTTGGGAATCCCTGTTGCAGAAAGAAAGAGACACTCAGTCTAGACTCTATAAGCAAAGACAGGGCTTCCGGATTCCGAGGCGGGAGGCAGTGGCAGGAAAGATGCTTATGGGTGCAGAAATGTAAATCCGGCTCTTAGTCCCTGCCCTGCTAACCCCCTGCTACTGAGACCCTGGGCTGATCACTTCCCCTCTGATGATCTGATGAGACCACTTCTGACCCTTAGACAGGACTAGCTTCTTCCCAGACAAATATGTGCCACACCCTACAAACCTTTCTGTTGGTCACAAGTCGAATGAACAACCTCACAAGGACAGGTGGGGATCCTCACTGTCTCTGTGAGATATAGACTCCATGAGAAGAGGCTAGCCCTGATCCCCCCCACCAGCCCAGGCCTTCACACACAGTATCTGCTGATGACTGCTACAAAGTGGAAAGAAATGGCTAAACTAGAATGATAGCTTCCTAACAGGGAGGCTAGCAGAGGCGGTGGGTCTCATACTATAGCTTAGGCTGGCCTGGAACTTACTAAGTAGCACAGGCTGGCGTTGAACTTCTGTTTTAAAGTTTTATTTACTTAGACGTATATTATATGTATCTGGGTATTTTATCTGCATGCATGCTGCACACCACAAGAGAGCATCACATCCCATGGGACTACAGTTACAGATGGTTGTGAGCTGCCGTGTGGGTGCTGAGACGTGAACTCAGGACCTCTGATAAAGCAGCCAGTGCTCTTAACGGCTGAGCCATCTCTTCAGTCCTAGCCTTGAACTCTTTATCTTCCTGTCTTACCCTGCCAAATACTGGGGTAACAGGTATGAGTCACCAAACTCCACTTCTCTCAGACCCCTTATAATATTTGGAGGGAAACAATGATGTGTAGACTACTTCCTTTGGGCTCTGGAGGGAAACTGATTACCCGGTGAAACAAACTGAATGGACTTCTTAGAGGCAATAGTCCCACAGTTCTAACCCGTGTGCCTTTAGAAGGCATCAGAGTTCACCTGTTCCTTTTTAGAGGAGGGAATTGTGGACAGAGAGATCCAGAACCAGGGGCCTGGCTCCCAGGCCTACATTCTGCCTCCAGTCTGGTCCCCACCCTGCAAACCCTGCTCATCTGGGTGATGGTAAAGCTGGTAAGCTCTCTGCTCCAACTGTCTAATTAGGTTAGAAAGAAGGTGAGGGAGTGCATGGATGGCTGTGATGGAACTGACTTGTTCATAACTAGTGCAGGAGCGCCTGACAGAATTGGACTGGAAGCGGGTGTGCCCAGTTTACAGTCAGGCTGTAGAATACAGAATTTCTTTCTGGACCATCACCCCACTCTTTGGAAATTGGAGTCTTATGGGATGATATCCCAAAGCATACAAAGCGAGCCTGGATTGGCTAGTCTCTTTCATCCTGCCTCTTCTTGGCTTCACTCTTCCTCTTCTGTGAAAGGGGAAATTTTTTCTCTAGTTTCCCTGACTCCTGGTGAAAATGTGAGGGCCAGTGAGATGGGGAATGGCCATCGTGACCAGCTCTGCCTCTCATGACAGTGTCCTGCCTGCTCTGATCAGCCACTGGTCATGGGAAAGCTGGTCTGTCTTGGGCATAATGGGTTCATGGACTTCACAGGGGATCCAAGGTGTACCCTTCACGTCACTCACAATGCAGTCCCTTGAGACACCTGTTAAAACGCAGGGCCTGAGATCCATACTAGAAGCACTGGTAACATTTCAAGACACACTGAGCCTGGCCTCTTGTTCTACACTGGACACACTGCAGTGGCCATCGTGCAATCCCCTCACACATACCCCTCCGTGTCCCTGAGGCCTGGGGGTGGGGGATAAGGAAGGGCTTTGTCCCTTTGCTTGGAAGACTAGGCTCCACACCTGTGAAAAGAAGGTGATTCTTGGCTCTTCTTGGAAACAGAGGGAAGGAAGTTTCTAAAGTCCCTAAAGAAATCTCTCCCTGTCTGCCCCTGGCCCCTCGCCTGTGGTACACCCGCATCCTGTCACCTGTGCTTCCGCAGCAGGGCTACCAAGAGGCTCTCCAGCGACATCTGCCTGTGGTCTGCCCACATGCTGTCCACCTGACGGCCAAGCCTTACCCTGGTTCCTTGTTCCTGGCTCCTCTCCCTGTGGGTTCGGAAAGGAGAAACAGTGAGGTAGCCATTGGGTAGTCAGAAGTGTAGCCCTTTACCATTTCAGGATCGGATGTGGATTCTTAGGAAACCCACCTACATTCAGCAACATCTGGGGAGCAGTAGGCGTGGCAGTGAAAAATACAGCAGGCATATTTATACCACTGCAAAGCCCTCCCCACAGATTGCTAATTTTGTAGACAGCACGATAAACAAGTGGTCAGATGTATCATCCACCAGGAACAGGACAACCCGTTGTGTGGCAGCTTCTGATACCGTGGCTGAGAAGGCCACAGTGGTTACTAAATATGAAGGTACCTTGGATGGGCTCACTGTGAAGGGCAGTCTAGGAAGTGATGACATTTACTAAGCAAAGTTGTCAAAGTCAAGAAAATCAGGAATCTTCCAGATTAAATTCAAAGATATTCAAAGGGCTGGAGAGATGGCTTGGCAGTTAAGAGCACCTTCTTGTAGAGGGCCCAGGCTTGATTCCCAGCATCCACCTCACAGCCACCCATAATCCAGATCCAGGGGATCCAGTGCCCTCAGATCCCGGGGATCCAGTGCCCTCAGATCCCGGGGATCCAGTGCCCTCAGATCCCGGGGATCCAGTGCCCTCAGATCCCGGGGATCCAGTGCCCTCAGATCCCGGGGATCCAGTGCCCTCAGATCCCGGGGATCCAGTGCCCTCAGATCCCGGGAATCCAGTGCCCTCTTTTGACCTCGAGGGTACTTGTCGTGCACGTGGTACACAGACATGCATGAGAGCAAAACAATCATGTACATAAATGTAAAGATAAAAAGACATGATAATGACTAAATGGAGTCTATGGTCCTATACTGGGTCCAAGGTCAGGGAAGACATAATTATAAAGGATCTGTTGGCACAGGGTAAAAAGGTCATGATAATTGTAATGGCAAGCCTGCAATCCCAGCATCCTGAATAGAGGTGAAAGCAGGAGGCTCAGAAACAAGTTATCCTCAGATACATACCAAGTTCAAGGCCAGCCTGAGCTATATAAGAGCCTGCAACAAAAGAAATACATTTAAAAGTGGCTCAGCAAAAATGAGAATTTTGTGCTTATTTACTTTAATGTGTATGGGTTTTGTTGTTGTTGTTGTTTGCCTACATTTATGCCTGGTGCCTGTAGAGTCCAGAAGAGGGTGTTGGATCCCCTGGGACTGGAGTTAGAAATGGGTGTCAGCCTCCACATGGGTGCTGGGAATTGAACTCAGGTCCTCTGCAAAAGCAGCACATGCTAACTCCATCCCCATGACATTTCTGTACATTTGAAGGCTTTTCAAAACAAAAACTACAAAATCAGGCTGTTTGGATCTTCACTCAGCCTCTCTTTGTGCATCCATTGGAGATGAAACACAGGGTCTGTGTAACAGTGTAACAACAGGTGGTTTCAAAGATCTAAGAAGAGACTTATAGAGGCTGCCCTGACACAGGAATCCTCATGTATGCACATGTCCTCATGCCTAGCCTTTGTTTCTGGCCATGAGTCCTGGTCAAACAGGAGCAATGACCATCAGCATTATCACTACTGGAGCCAATGACAGGGAGAGGCACACAGAAGGTGTAGAGGTAAGTAGAGGTTTGACCTGCGCAAAATCCAGAAAGGACATATACCAGCAGTTCTCAATCTGTGGGTCTCAACCTCTTCGGGGGTCATATATCAGATACTTACATCACCACTCATAACAATAGCAAAATTACAGTTATGAAGTAGCAACAAAGTAATTTCATGGTTGAGGGTCACCACAACATGAAGAACTGTATTAAAGGATCATAGCATTAGGAAGGTTGAGAACCACCGATACACACTGTGTCAGGGAAGAAATGAATCTTGGTCCCACCTCCTGCACCAGGCCTCCCCAGCTCTAATGCAGGGGAGGAGCTACTAGAATGTCTGCTTACCCTTGCTGCCTGCTCATGATGTCCTGGAGCAGTTTGCGGGCAGACAACTGGCCCAGAACTTTCCTGTAGCTGTTGGTGAAGATGGCATCTGCATATCGCCGCATCCTGTGCAAAAGGGTCAGAGGTCAGGATGGGCCCGGTGAGAGGGCAGTGCAAGTTACACTTAGCGCAGGGCTCCCTCTGTTCCCTGTTCCCCTCACTTCCTGAGAGACTCAGAGCCTGGTTGCAGGACCTCTGGGGCCCCGCGCCTGGTGACTGCTTGAGATGAACAGTGGACACTGTGAAGAAACAGCCGTTCCTGTCAGCAGCCCCTCTCTCTGCCCGTGGCAGGGAGGTCTCGGGGGTGCAGGAATCCTGGCTGCTCACCTGAAGGGCAGTGTTGGGGACGGTGAACAGCGGGAGCCACTGGTGAGGGTGAGGATCACAAAGAACACCCAGAGTGGCATCCTTCCTGCAAGGAAGACCAGAAGGGCACAATCAGACATAGCCACAGTGTCCCCTGGGGACTACTCCATGACAAGCCCTGGTCCTCATCCTTTGGCTGTCTGTTGGGCTTTGAAAGTGAGACATACTCCCGTATTCAAGCTCAACACCATCAGTCCTCAGCTCTGGCTACCGATTTCCCACACACACTCACACACACTCACACACTCACACTCTCACACTCATACACACACTCACACACTCACACTCTCACACGCACTCACACTCACATACTCAATACACTCACACACTCACATACACTCACACTCACACACACACACACACACTCAGGAAAGACACAGGCGGAGAAAGCATGACTTACAGCAGGGGGCAGAAGGCACCATGCGCCCAGATAAATCTGATTCTGCTCTCACCTCGTGAGCTCCCATTACAAGTGGCTTAACCTATCTGAGCCTCAGGCTGGAGATAATAACTGAAACTCATAAGGAACTCTTTAGAAACTTTTGCTGTAGTCACCTAACACTTATTTCACTTAGAGGATAGATTCAGGCTGTTCCATTTTGTGTGGAGTTGCAGCAAAGACGGAAGTGTCATGTTCTAGAAGCTTACATTTTGGAGGCAGGGTATGAGACAGTGTCTAGAAATGTAGCTGAGGCTTGCCTGGAATTCACTGTGTTGCCAGGCTGACTTCTAACTCACAGTCCTCCTGCCTCCGCTTCACTAGAGCTGAAATTAGACATGTGCCACCGCACCTGGCAGAATTGTTACATCACACGGAGCCCTGAGAGGGAGGGGGGAAGGAAGCATCAAGTGTGAGCATGCCAGATTCTTTTCACAGACTTCACAATGGCCCTTAAGTGGGACCTGTCAACACCACGCTCTGCAGTTATCAGAAAAGCTGCCTTGGCTCGAGAGGATGCACCTGTTAGCTCTGGCCTGCCCTGGTATGGAGCCGCTGATCAGCTAGGAGCTCGGTCGTCTCAGCAGAACTTCTTCACTGGAGGATCTGGCTGGTCCCTGAAAGTGCCACCCCTCCATCCCCGTGATTCCTCACTCCCTAGTCCCACTGAGGGGTCATTTCTGCGAGCAGGTCCAGCACTAACCCACTCCACCACGCTTGCCTAGGCTCACTTCTCTTCAGGCAACAGGCCCCTCTGCAGAAGGCCTTCTCTGGTCAGGGGTGCCTTGGGTCCCAGCAAGGATTCATGGGAACGGTTCACTGTCGCCCCGTTCCTGCACCGCACACCAGGGTTCTCAGGTATGTTTTCATATGACTGAGGCCTTGTTTCTTGGGCCACGCATCTGCACTCCCTGTCTCCCTCATATATCACACCAGGGCGTTCCTTTTCCAGCCGGGCTGGTGTGGTCAGTGCTATAGGTGTCGGCGGGCGGGGTGGATATATATCTCCCTACACTGGGCCTCTCCAGAAGTGGAATTTTCCAAACAGGGAACCCTTTGGACATACGCAGGGTCCCTTGACTACAAACCTCTTTCACAGCACACTGGCTTTTCACATTCTTCATGTCTCTGCTCGCTCGCTCTCTCTCTCTCAAAAGACAGGGTTTCTTTGTGTAGCCTTGGCTGTCCTGGAACTTGCTGTGTAAGACCAGGCTGGCTTCAACCACACAGGGATCCGTTTGCCTCTGCCTCCCCAGAACTGGGCCTAAAGGTGTGTGTCACTACACCCGGCTGGTCCCTGGTCCCTTTGCTCCCATGCTCAGAAACTAGTTGGCCATGAAATCCAGGCCCCACCCTTGTCCCGAGGTCTCCTCCCCTCCTGCCTAGCTCCCCAGAGTTTAAAAGACCCCACTGTCCCCACCTACATCCCATGTCCTGTCCTGCCTGTCAGAGCAGGCACTGTCATCCTCAGTTCACAGCCAACACCAGAGCCAAGGAGGAGGAGGGAAACTTCCAAACAGCCTCAGAGTGGGCCCTTGCTTCCCAGCCCAGCACACTTCCTCCTGCTGCAAGGCCATTTCTCAGATACAACACCCTATTCACAGTCATCCCTATTCATGAGGCCTTTGGGATTTGTCACCTGCACATGGGAAACGGTTCTGGAAAAAAAAAAAGGGGGGGGGAAGCTTTTGCTTCTTGTCATGTTGTCATGGGGCTTCCCAGAAGTCAAAAGGGAAACAAACAGGAACACTTGCTTGATTGGCACCTCTCTGCACACCCAGTGGCGTCAAGGAGTTGAAAGTAACATCAGAGGGCAGGCTTTGGGGAAACAGTTCTCTCAGGTCCAGCAACACCTCATTCATTCATTTGTTCATTCATTCATTCATTCATTCATTCATTCATTCATCCATTTATCATTGTAAGGCTCGGTCATTGCACAGCCTGGTCAAGCAGGCACATTAACACTTGCCTTTATCCCAGAGGCAGATCCAGATTCCACAGCAACCCCAGCTATGCAAAACCTATTGCACAGGGTTGCCCAATCCCAGTGGACAAGAAGAATCATTTGGGCTGGGCTGTGGTGATGCACACCTTTAATTGCAACACTCAGGAGGCAGAGGCAGGCAGATCTCTGTGAGTTCAAGACCAACCTGGTCTATAGAGCTAGTTCCAGGATAGCCAGGGCTACACAGAGAAACCCTGTCTGGAAAAGTCAACAAAACAAAAAGAACGGAGACTACGAAATAGAGGCCAACTATGTCTCATGTGACAAAGTGTCCCAAACCCAGCTGCCTCTGATGATGCTTAAGATAGTCTAGATCCTGGGCGAGGTCTTGGGTGTTAGAAAAAAGGGCCATCAATCCTCATCAGTTGACACCTTTTGCTAGCCTCCTGCTGCAAGTGCCGTTATAATTCTGCAGACACACACCTGTGGCAGATGGCAGGTCAGGTCTCAAGTGTCCACATGAACAAGGGTCTGCAAAAACCTTGAGGTACTTTTCTTCTACCTTTGTTAAATGTTCTCCTTTGCAACTGAGCACTGCAGAGCACCAGAGTCTCAATTCTGAAGCCATTTGACCAAAACACTTCAAGTGCAATGAAGTCTGAGGCTGAGATTTTTGTGGTGCTGGAGAGACCCCAGGGCTTTGCACATTCTAGGCAAAGCTCTAACTCTCACCATACCCCACACTGTTTCCAATGAGGAAGCATGTACCAAAGAAAGATTTGAGGCCATTTATGGTGGAAAACAATAATAATGTTGATAATGAGAAGTACTTTAGGTCTATTTTCAAGCAAGGGGTAGGAGTCAGCCATGGGGTCATAGAAGCCTCCAAAACCAATAATTATGACTGAAAATTAGATCAGGGAGCATGGCTGCAACTGAGGGAGAAAGCAAAATGTTATCCATTTCCAGACAATTATACTGAGTTGGCTCTGAGTGATCGATGAGCCGCATTGATCTCTACAGTAATTGAACACTTTTCGGATGCAGGCTAAGTGCTGTCATTGACAGGAGAATCCAGCCAGCTCATGTCTCAACCCAGGAGCCTGCCCCACACCCTGGAAAGGGCTCCCAAGACCTCCCATGCCTCTCACCAACTCCTGCAGCACAGCTGCCTGCCATTCTCCATGTGTCCAATGCCATGCCTTTATCACAGTCCTTACATGGCACCGGCCACCAAAAGCACATTCCAGAGTATCTACTGAGGGGTCACTGCACTCAGAGCAGGTACTACATGTCCTCCTCACCAGTGCATGGACACAGAGGCTGGCCATGGGCCATTTGCCTTGGTTTTTGTTAGTTGGTGAGATGTCAGTTTTTCTTGTCCCCATCCAGCCCTCCCTCCAGGACCATCCCCTCTCACCTCCAATGTGACAGGTGTCCCTCTCCGTCTGAGGCACTGCTCGGGTCCCACTGACCTCAGGCATCTGCTCCAGCTACTGTGGTGCTCTCACATTTATACCTTAATTTTCCTAAGTGTTGTCCACGTCAGAGAGTCGATTACGCACAAGTCAACTAATGCACCATTTTTAGCACCACACAGACTATCTCTAATGGGGAAAAGTGGTTTCTGTGCCCCCACAAATTAAGGCCCATGCCAAACTTTCCCTCTGTCCTTGAGGGGGTGAACAGAATCTAATGTTGAATGATTATTCTGAGAAAAATAGTGAATAGTACTGAGATTCTAGTAATTATAATATTTACAACAATGTCATGGCTTTGTTCATTTTCCCACACACTTTGCCTTTTTTAGGTCACATAATTCTGTTTTGTCCAGACATAACTGAATTTCACTTTTGAGTAGACAGTACTACCAACAAGTGTTGGGATTTTTTTTTTTTTTTGTTCACTATCTCCCTTGTCATCTAATTATCAGAATTTCTGTGTTTGATTTAAACCAGCTGCTGCCATCCACAAGCAAATTTTGACAGCCGACCCCCAAAGCAACCTCTGTCGTGTGTCAAGACAGCCCAACGTGGCAGCTGCCTCAGAGGAGTGTGACGGGAGAGAAAAGAGACAGAGGCCTTGGGAGAGCTGTGATATTTTCAGACTTGTCTAGCCTGTAACTAAGTATTCCTCAAGAATAGTATGAAAATGTCTGGAGCAGACGCCTGGCTTCTTATATGGCTCTGTGGACTGGTCCAGAGAGCTCCTCACAGAGGTTGGAGACCTGCCTCCTCATCCATGCCTGTCAATCACAGCCTCTGTGACCTTTGTGAATTCCTTCTACCTCTACCCTCCAGGCCTCCGTGTCTATACCTGTGAATGACAGCTTTCAAACATTTTAAAAGTTTCTTTTCTTTGGAAATCTGTTTAACCATAACTTACAAAATAGATTCGTAAATGGGCCAGCTTGGGCAAGAAAGCAAGATTCCTGCTCAAAAGGAGGTGAGGTAGAGACAGTCAGTTCATAAAGGGCTTGTGATATGACCACGAGGACCTGAGTTTGGATCCCCCACACTGACGTACAAACATGACAACAAACGCCTGCCGTCCCAGCAGTAGGAATGGATGGGGGTTGGCCTTGGAGCTTCTGGCCAGCAAGTCTAGCCATGTCAGCAAATTCCTTTTCTCAAAAAATAAGGTAGTAAGAGACTGACTGAAGAAGATATCCAATAGTAACCTCTGGCTCACACGCACACGTTAATCCTACCACTACCATGTACATACAACATGCATGCACACACATACAAGCACACTCACATGCACACGTATCAATGCACAAACATATAAATGCATACACATATGCACACACATATATACAAACACATGTACACATATTACACATATGCATGCATATGTGCACGTGAGCACACACACACACACACACACAGTTGTGCTGCTCTGAGGTAGACAGAGGAATGGGGAGACCTCTCTCCATGCTTCTCAGCACCTCTCTGGTTCAGTTGGAAGCAAGCACTTTCTGAGAGCCTCCTAGCAGTGATGTTTTGAAACCTTGCTTCCTAACCTTCACTGAGCCATGTTCTTGCATACAGTAAACATGGGACGTTCTCTACACAGGTGATGGCTAATGGGCATGTTACCCTGCTGACCATGTCTGCATGGAGCAGTCAGGTCAGGCCACAGCTTCAAGAATCACAAATGGGATGATAGGTTCTCTCTTTCTTTCTCTTCCTCTCTCTCTCTGTCTCTCTCTCCTGTCTCTCCCACTGCTCCTGTCCCTGGAGGCTGGTCTCACCCTTCCCCTTTCCCCCTTTTATGATCCCTTCCCCTAGTAACAGAGAAAAAAGTTTTAAAAATTGGGATGATAGGTTTAAAGTAAGTACCAAAACACAAAACCAAAACCAATAAATGGACTGATGGGTCCTAGCAACAGACATGTGGTTGGGACAGTTGAGGCTGTTCCGATCCTCAGAGGAATGGCCTCTTGGGCAGGTAGGAGGTGTAGGGTAAAAAGTCCAGCCAAAGAAACCCACCCTGGCCCTGAAGACAGCTGACCTCATGAGTGGCCAGACTCTGGGCTGGGTGCAGATGCAAGACTCAAGGAGCGCTGGGGAAGTTATGAGAATCAGGGTTTAACCCAGAGGGAATTGTAAGCCAGCCGTGCCAGGCCACCGTATTCCTGACCTCCATTTCCTCCTGTGGAACAGGGCTCAGCTCCTGAGTAAAGAGCGCTATGTCAGTGCATAGGGAACAGGCGTGGCACAGAGTGGCCGCTGTCAGTTAGCATCGGAAGAAGAGGCAGCAGTGGCACAGTGAGCCAGCCAGAACCAGTTGGTGCCAGTGCTCAGACTTCCACATGTAGAGCCACACACAAAACTGAGGGTTTCTCAGGGTTCTTCAGCCCTGGGCTTCTAACACTGTAAACTCGAGTATCACAACAATCACTTGGTTCTCTTCTCTTGCCGTGCTGGAAGTCCAACTCAGGGTTTTGTGGAAGCTAAGTAGGTGCTCTACCGCTGAGCGCCTGCACCCCAACTCAGTTATTACAGACCTTTAGTCCTTCAGGGATATCATAGTATACACAGCTGTGGCTCCTTTGTCACAGCTGTCTCAGACCACACCCCTCCACCCATTTGCCACCCACTCCCACAGCCCCAGGCAAGAACCCATCTGCTTTCTGTCTTTATTTTTCTTTGCTGATAATTCCTATGCATTGAAGTATATGACAGGTATTCCCCAGTGTGTCACTGAAACAAACACATGGGCATCCATGCATTAATAGTTCAGTCTTTTTTTTCCCTGCTGTATGGCTATATGACAGCTTGCTTATCCACTCACCATGAGTGACATTTAAGTTAATTAGTTGGAGGTTATAGACTAAGTATCATTCTACAGGCTGGACAATGGTGGCACATGCTTTTAATCCCAGCACTTGGGAAGCAGAGGCAGGAGACTCTCTGTGAGTTCAAGGCCAGCCTGGTCTACATAGTAAGTTCTAGGACAGCCAGGGCTACAAAGAGAAACCCTGTCTCAAAAACAAACAAACAAACAAAAAACAACAAGCAAACAAACAAAAAAACCCAAACAAGCAAAAAATCACTTTATAGAGCTGGAGAGAGATGGCTTGGTGATCAAGAACACTGTTTAGTCTTCCAGAGGACTCCTACCCGATCCCCAGCTGTCACATGGTGACTCAAACCCTCTGTAACTCCAGTCCTATTGCATCCAATGCCCTCTTCTGGCCTAAACAGGCACAGCAGGAAAAGGGTGCACTCATGCAGGCAAAACACCCAGGCACACAAAATAAAAAAATTGTATTTTTAAAACACACTGCTCTTTTGATATTTAGTGAGAATGGACACATCCATTGCTCTTGGAGAGTTCTAGAAGCAGAACTGCTGGATTTTGTAATAAGAATATTTTGAGCCAGGCGGTGTTGGCGCACGCCTTTGATTCCAGCACTGGCGAGACAGAGGTAGGCGGATCTCTGTGGGTTCAAGGCCAGCCTGGTCTACAGAGCTAATTCCAGGACAGTCTCCAAAACAATATAGAGAAACCCTGTCTCCAAAAAAAAAAAAAAAAAAAAGTGGGGGAGACTATTTTAAATATTTAAAAACCTTCCAAAGGTGAAATGGCTCAGAGACTGAAAGTGCTTGTTGTATAAGAATCTGAGTCCTATCCCTGGGACCTATGATAGAAAGAGAGAACCAGTTCCCAAAAGTTGTCCTCTGACCTCAGTAGGTTCTCTGTGACACGTGCCTGCTGGGTTATTCACACAGAGGTATGTGCACAAAAGGTATACACACACACACACACAAAAAAAAAAAAAAAAAAAAAAAAAAAAAAAAGGGAGCGGAGGAAGAGAGGGCTAGGAGCACTGTCTGGCCAGGTCTTAGGTGAGTGAGCATCTATTTCCTTCTTTTACAAATTTCCATCTTGTGGGTAGGTGGCAGCATAGGCCTTGAATCCCAGCCCTTGGGAGGCAGAGGGAGATGAATCTCAGAGAGTGAGTTGGAGGCCAGCCTGGTCTATAGAGCAAGTTCCAGGACAGCCAGGACCACACACAGAAACTCTGTCTCAGAAAAACCAAATCAGACCAAACAAAACAAACAAATGCCCAGCAAACACCTAATTAGGCCCTGTTGGAGCCTACAGCACTCTCTGGATTAGCTGTCCTGAGGGCCAGGTTCTCATCTCTGCCTTTATGGGAATGTGTGTGGGTCTCTGTCCTTTGCCCAGCATTTGGGCCTTGAGAAGTAGGGGACCCAGCACTCCTCTCCAGAGGGCTGTGGGAAGCAGGAGCTTCAATTGCAAAAACACACAAGAGTGCTCAAGAATTGGGGGGAAGGGATGGCCGCTTTAAACTGAAATCGCCTCATCAAACAGCGGTGTGTGTGTGTGTGTGTGTGTGTGTATGTGTGGTGTGTGTGTGGTGTGGTGTGTGTGTGGTGTGGTGTGTGTGTGTGTGGTGTGGTGTGTGTGTGTGTGTGTGTGTGTGTGTGTGTGTGTTAAAACAGGCACACTGGCTTCGGTGGCCAATGGATTTAGATGGAACAGTGCTCTGCCCTATGTGTGAAACTTGCACGGTGAGGATCATGGCACCTAACTCCCCAGTGAAGAAGCAGAGACAGACAGGTACAGTTTTTAACCAGCCCTGAGCTCAGAAGGCCAGGCAGCATGGTTAGGGAGCTTTACTTGCTCCTTAGCCCACTAAGAGGATGGAGAGAGAAAGCCAGAAAGAGTCCTGAGAATGAAAATCCAGCCTCCACCTCCGATTCCCACCACTCTACTCTGGCTGGCCTCGCTCAGGGCTGGCTCTTTCCCAAGATGCACTTTTAACTCAGCCTTACTTAGTGATCTCGGCTGTGTCTAGGGTCCCCCGGGCTTGAGCTGGAAAAAAAAAAAGAAAGAAAGAAAGCACCACCCCCCAGAGGTGCAGATTCTAAAAGGACCCCAAAGGCTGGGGCTGAGAGGGAGACAGGCTGCACATTTGTGTTGCAAATTTCCAGTGTGTGAGAACCAGCCTATCAAAGAGGAGGCTGCTGAAAGCAGGGTCTGGGTGATGGAGAGGGGGAGCCCGACAACAAAGGGGG